CATCTGTTCGCGTGGCGTGTGGACTTACGAGAACAGGAGGGGCCTTTGCGACCACGTATATCATTAATTATTAGCTAAAGAAAACCTGAACTGAGATGCGAATCAATAAAGATATTTATAGGGCAGTCTCAGAGTAATCGAAAGTCGTAATTTTGTTTGCAAAGCTATGCTAGATTTGGCTCCGCTTTTCAGCCGTTCTGTGGCATATATTATTCTCAGAGTGGGTTTACGTGTGCTTATGGCAGATTATTTATGGCTTGTTGTTGCAAAAATATCGTTGGCAACAGCCACAGTAGCAGAGTAGCCAGGAACGCAGTTTGAGCACGTATCTGTGTCTGTGTGTTTGTCAGTGAGGCAGGAGCAGGAGCAGGAGCAGGAGCAGGGCAACTATAGATCTTCTCCATTCTCTGTTAGTCCGATTTTGCGGTTTGGATCCCCAGAGTTTGCTGCCAGGAAATGCAGCTGCAGCACAGCACCGACTTTTCTTTTCGAAAGGAAAAGTTCGACTGGAACTGATTCCCCCTGCTGCTTGTTGCAAGCTTTCTGCGCGTGCGCATGCAAAGCGAATGGAATGGAAGCCAATCGCCTTGCTGTTGCTGATGTTTGTTGATGTTGGTGTTTGGTTTCTGTTGGTCAGCTGGGGCATGTTTCGTAATGGGAGAAAAGTCGGAATGCAACAACAATTGGGGCGGTCGCCTTTGCGCTCATCGGGGGCGCTGGGCGAAGACGCTTACTTCAATTGATCTCTCCAGCCGATTGCCGATTGAAAATGAAAACCTAAGCTAAAGTCCGCCCATGATTTATATTTCCGTCTGGCGGGTGTGCGAGCGTGCGTTTAATTGCGGACCGCACCCGAATCGCAGCGAATCGAAAGACTTAGGCAACGAACTTGTCGGCTGCCTGTTGGCCACGTTTAATTAAAAGTTCAAAGCGATCACGCGAAAAAGAAATTGAGCCATCAATTGAGGCGGCCAGATAGTCCAATACGAGATACATACATATGTTCGTAGTACGAGTAAATCAACGGCCAAATACTTTGGGGCGGATATATTTAGTTGCAATTCTACTGTTATTCGGTATTCTTGCTGTCCTGTCGACCATTTCTATACGGTCGAAGCCTCATTATGGTCGACATAAATCGGATTTCGAGGCTGCATTCGACGATGTTGCCACCAAACGAGGTGGCAATTAGTGCAATGTTTCGCGTCATTTGTCTAAATTTGGCCATGCTATTGGCGGTTGCCAATTTGATGGCTTTAAATAAGTCGGAGGCAGTGTTGAAATGCCGCCTCGCCAACTTATGGCTTAAAGACCATAAAGCTTTGAAGCATCGGCGACCGTCGTCGACGACGACGTAGCGTAGCGGTGGGCCTAGGATCATCAGTCGTTAACGTAGCGACGGTGGCGTCGATGGAGGCATCAGTGAGACATTAAACAAATGGCGCTTTACATAAATTAGCGCCTTTCGCACGGAAACGCTCAATCAACACAAACAATCGATTGATATACGGCGTGAATTTCAGGGTTTGAACTCTTTGCCACAGCTTGTGCTGTGGCTGAACCTCACACTGCTGGTGCTGCTGGTGCTGCTGGTGGCACCAGACGGGGTCACTTATAAATATTCAACGATTTAAAGATACGACAGTTTTATTGATTTTAAATGCTCAACATCTTTTAAGCAGCGGCATTCAAATAAATTGATAATAAAATGCCTCACGCTGATCTTCAGCAAGTTGTCCAGACAAGACGTGATGCTTTTTTAGCTGTAAAGTCTACCACAGCCAGAGACGGCAGTTTTTGTGTCGCTGAACTACGAGTACCCTGAGTGCCATGTGTTTTATTGCTGCTTCCGACTGACATGAAAGTCAAGTTGCTCATCAAGGGGCGCTTATGGCTTACGGCAGAGAAGTTGTTGGTCGAGTGCACTTCGGGCACACCACACGAAAAGGCCAAATTGTAAAGCTTTCGGCACGCTTCTCAGTGCATCATCGCCTAAGAGACTATACTTTGGCGTGGAGGAGCTTGGGTAGCTTCGTAAGAATGTATGCCCGGAATGCTGTGAACAAGGGTACTGGTACTCTAATACGTAGACTGCTTTCAATAAAAATCGCGCTACGTGCTGCACTTATATACGAAACACTAAACCAAAGCCAACGACAAGCGCCAAACAAAACAAAACCAATCAGGCCTATGGTCGAATTACTGCGCGTTGCATAACAACCCAGCCGCCTAGCCACCTAGTCGCTTTGAACCTTAGCTTCGGCTTTAGATTTGGCCTCAGCGTCAGTTTTAGCGTTGACTCGTACAATATATTGTTTAGTGGAGCAGAAAGCACGATTGCATAGCACTAGCGGCAGCGGCAGCGACACAAATGCAATAACAACAGGCAACAACGAATCAACAACAACAATCTGACCAGCGGACGCGTCAGGGGCTGCCAAGTGTGGGCAGCCGCTGCCTAATACAAATGTCATTCGTGCGGATAGTGGATGGGCAGCTCTAGGCTCTTGCATGGTCAATTGCCGTTGGCACGTGATTAGCTTTCATTGTGCGCCACCATCGCCATCGTATATCGTGTATCAGCCACTCAGATCACTCACTCGGTCACTAGTAGCACTTGCACTTGCGAATAGTCGAGCTGCCGGCTGCCGTCTGCACAGTTACCGGCGAAGATTCAAAAACTGCGACGATTTTGCGCGTTAATTACACAATTTGTGGAGCGTGGAGCGTGACGCGTCTGCTGCATGCTAAGTAGATGATGTACGCTACCTCAAGGAGCCTTGACACCATTGGAGAAATACTCGCCAGTCAATGACGTCAATACAAAGCGCTAGGAGATGTTGTGCATACTATTGAAAGCAATTTCAGAGCAGTCTGCCCTTTGTGTCCATACCATTTTTGTAATAAAACCCTTTTTCGACACTTTGCGTACACTTTGCGACTCCCACTAGATCCCAGCGGGGGCCTTATACACTGCCTTCGAATAAACTATTCATCTACGCCCAATCATGTCAAAGATGTTGTATCAAATGAGGCAGGAGGAGGCTTGTCGCCTCTAAAAGTGAATGGAAAGTGATGTAGGGAGAAGCCGGTCTATCAAAATGCGAAAATCCGTCCAGTCAAAAGTGCAACATAACGGCACCGTTATTGTTTGTTCAGTCCCCGCGTTACAATTAAAGCGTAACATAATGCTGCGAACATAATTTCGGCCCATTTTGTGGCTTCATTTGTGTGCCAGAAGAAAATGGTAGTACTACCATGTACTCCAATAATCCGATCCGCGACCACCGACAGGCCAATTACATAAATGTGTAAAAAGTACAGCAGTGTATTGCAGTGCGCATTATGGAGTTCTGAATCTGAGTCTGTACCTTAGATTTTACTGACGACTTGTGCAATTTGAGCATTTCTGATTGAACGGCTTTGGAATGAATGGCTTGCGGCAAGCTTGCTTAATTTATTAGTTATCGTACAGTCATAAACCCGAGACTCGTCAAGCCAATCGAATTTTTTGCAATCTAGTGGAGTCGGGCGCGCCATCGCCTTACTTGGTTAGCATTGTTAGCGCAGCGCTTAGGCTTGAAATAACTTTGATTGCAAAGAATTGATTTCAATTGAATTCAAATTGAGCCTCAATTGTTCAGCGTAATCAGTTTTATATTTGGTTTCGGCTTTTCTGACTTTGGAGGGGTTTTCTGGTTTCCAGTCCGCTGTTGCCTGATGCCTTCGCCAACGTCGCGACGGGGCCAAATTCATTCTGTCTTGACTCTTGAGCACTGCGCTTGGAGGTTAGCTCTTATTTTTGGGTGCAGTTACCTTTCTGAAGCATAAACCGAGCTTATAACGGCACGTTTTTATAATTAAAACTTTTTTGCCAGCGAATTGTCACCACTTGATGGCTGATTCAGCGCAAATCGCTTTGAAGGCGAACGCTTTTGGATCGCTTTTACTGCTTAAGTCTTTCGGTTGTTCGGATGCTGGCGGTGTAGATTGCTACAATGGTCATAAATTTCGGGTATTATGCAACCACATGTGCCATTCTTTCTCCTGCTAGCACTCGTGGTTTGTCGTTTCTTAATTAACATTCCGGCGTCGCGCGCCAAAACGAGTGAAAAAACAACACCATTGACCACTGAGCCCTGTCTGTAGAGTGACGATAATTTGAGGGGAATAAACTTTGAATACGGAACTCATCGCCATCTGGCCTACACAATGCTTTATTCACATGTTTGTACATATGTACATCCCAATCAAAGATAAATCCAATAACTAATTAAATTGTTACAATTCCGTCATGGCTGGACTATACTGGACCGTCTGTTCTGTTTGCCTTTGCGGATATTTCAGCACCAGTCAGTCTGTACCACTGAGCCACTCTTTGTATTATTAAAAAAGCTATAGCCCAAGCACAAGACAAATTTTGTTCATGTGGCATTTCGTTAAGATTGAGAAGGTCACGTTAGCAACGGCATCAACGGCAATCAAAATGTTTCGGCGCCAACAAGAACTCTGCATCTTGGCCACACTCATGCATCTGCATTTGTGTTCGAATATATATATATATATAATTATAGATGTATATATATGTATGTATGTGCTGTGTAGGTAGATGTATAAAAAAATACATTACAAGTGCAAATAAAACCGTGACAGGCCTACGTGTAGAGTTCGGCGATTGGCTATCGCTCAATGGAGCGCAACTGCAATAAAAGAGCTACTGCCGCTGCCAATATTGACCCCTTTCCGCTGCGGCTGCCGCTGATGGCAAGACTGTTCCCCGGCTGCTGTTCTTGCCGCTGGAGATGTTGCAATTGACATTAACGATTCTGAACCAGCCACGGATAGATGTATGTTGGCCCGATTATAGTGTGTTTCAGTTAGTGCATTGTGTAGGATATGCATTCAAAAGCAGTTAAAGTATTAAGAAGAGAAGTTATACTTATACTTATACTCTTTACTCATTCTGTGTATCTCCAAATCTCTTCACGTTGCCATCACAGGATGCACAGAAGCGCAAGGGAAACGCGCCTCACGTATCACCAGCTCCCGCAGCTTTGGCACCAACGTCAAGTCCACAAGCTCCAATGGCCTTAGCTTCGACTGCCCCGAGGAGTTCGGCTATTACCCGCACCCCACGGACTGCACACAGTACTACGTGTGTGTGTTCGGTGGGGCACTTCTTGAGAGCTGCACCGGCGGCCTGATGTACTCGCACGAGCTGCAGACCTGTGACTGGCCACGAAACGTAGGCTGCGAGTTGGTGGACACTTCCACGGAGCGCGGCCCCGCACGTAGCCAGAGCCAGACGCAGCAACAACATCAGCAGCACGTGCCTAGCCGTGTGCGCTTTGGGTCTGCTTTTGGCAGTTCGGGTGGTGCCCCAAAGGCGCCCACAGTGGCTCCGCAGTACCACCGCTCTCCGCCACAGGTCATACAGGCTCAGGTCCAGCATATCCCGCCGCCGCCCCCAGAGCTACGCGTCCCACCCAATCCGGTGGTCACATCGCGGGGTCAGCCGAAGCCATTGCTGGACGCGCAGGAGGACATAGCGAAGGTATGTCGAAGGTCAACAGACTCCATCCAGAATATAGGGAATACGAGCAGTATGAGCATTTGTTCTATTTATATATTTAGCTGTACGCTGAGGCGCAGGAAACACTGCCGCCCGTGGAGGAGGAGGAGTCCGATCGCCAGCAGCGGGTGTACCGCGGCCAGCCAAGTACCGTTAGCCAGGTTCAGCGGGATCGCGATGGTATCATACATCAGGCCAGCATTAATGCCATACCCCAGAGCGGGAAGCTTGGATCGTACGCCTTCGGAACAGCCTACAGGTAAGCAGCGATCATCCCTTCTAGCAAAGCTTGAGTGTCATGTACTTTCCTCGTTGCTTATTTAACTGAATTGAATTCGCTCTGCATTGATGCTACTCACTCTACCTTACTGAAGCTAAATTGATTCTAAATTCTCCGCAACTCATCGTATTTCATGCTCTTTCTCTCATACAATGCATTATCTGCACTATCTCTATATATCTTGCTCCAACAACAAACCACCGACCACCGACACACCACAATCCGAACGACCGAACCGCTTTTGGCCAAAAACTGTACGCAAACAGCGAAAGCTTGGACGACGAACAGACGCTCGAATACGAACTGTCACAGAACCGACTCGAGGCACTCGATGTGGACAGGCGACCACGCAAACGACGTGACCTCACGGTGCAGACTACGCCAGTTGCGGACACAGAAACGCAGACGCCAACAAAACCAGAACCAGAAGCAAATGTGCAAGCAGAAGTGCCCAACGATTCGAATACGTCGAGTGAAGTTATGGAACCTGAAAGCCCCAGCCCCAGCGCCAAACCTAGCTCGCTCCTTGGCAATAGTGAATCTTCCAATAGCTCCAATAACTCACAAGAGCACTACGACGAGGCGGCTCCAGCTGTATCTAAGCCACAAAAATACTCCTCGAAGATCAGTCAGCCACGAGAAAAGAGTGGAAGTGCAGTAATTGAATTCGACTACGTTAATACGGGTGCAGATGGTGAAGAAGGTGATGACGGGGACGGGGACGGGGACGACAGCCCAGAGGATGCGGCAACAGGGGAATCAAAAAGACGCCCACGTCAACTTCGCCCCGTGACGCACACTTCTACCAAGTGGACGGGGCCGAACTATCGTGCCATTGACGCGCCTCCTCCACCCCACCAAGGATACCAGCAGCACCAAACTGGCCAGAGCTACAGCTTCGGTAGCTTCAACCCATATCTTACGCCTCCGGCCAACCCCGGCCACACTCAACAGCCGTTCGGCAGTCACAACTACAACCAAATAAGCCCCGGCTACCCGGCTCAGGCCTATCTTCACCAGCAACAGCAGATTTCAGCTCCGAACCAACAAAAGCCCAAGGTCGTCTACACCGGCTACAATCTTTCGCTGCCTCCTCCCCCGTTAGAGGACGACTTTCGTCCGATAGCGGGAAACTACTTCAGATCGCCAAATGGGGTACCGAGCAGCCCACGAACACCACTACCCGCGCAAAACCTCCAACAGCAGCAGCAGCAGCAGCACTCCAGCCCCGGAGATCTACTACCGTATTTAATACAACAGCTGAAGGAATTAAAGGAACGACGCAAGCATCTACAAGCAGAAAACTTTGCCTATTTTCATCTGGAGAACCAACCAATAACACCTGGTCCGTCTCCCGGCTCCACACCCCCCACACCCGCAGCCCAAACGCCATTCGCGTACTACTCCCACTCTCAGGTTTCGTCAGGTGACTCGTCCAAGCCCACCCAACAGGTGACACCGAACGGACAGTTCAGTACCATGGGAGGCTTTTACAATAATCAGAGTCCGGACCAAGCACCGTACACCGCGAACTATGCAGGCAAACTGGTCTCGCAGTATAGCATAGGCGGCAGCACCACGGAGAGCAACTATTTTCAGTACAATGTTATAGCTAATCAGAAGATGAAAGGGGTCTACAGCACGGCCAAGCCAAACCAAATAGGACATGCTGCGGTCAAGGTGCGCCCCCCTGTCACCCCGCTGCAGGTCACACAGAACATAAACATTGTCTCAGCGCCCAACCTGGCCTACAGCCGGCCCGCAACAGGTCTGCAACAGGTGCCTTTCCGCGACTTTTCGCACCTACCCGTAGGCATAACCTACGCGGGAAACAGTACAATGCCGGAATCATATCAGACTTTTACAAAGTCGATCACTTCAGAGGCTCCGCCAACGCCTACTTCGCCAACGACTGCCAACAACAAGCCCAAACTGTCAAATTTTCAATTCAACATCCATGAATTCATGGCTAACCTAAAGTCCAGCGACCTGGCAAGCGTGAACCCGGCCATAAACCCGCTGATGAAGTATTTCAAGCAGGTGAGCAGCGATGGAAATGGCAATCTGCGCAATGCCGTGGTCCTTCGTCGCCCAGTCCCCCCCTCCTCGAGCAGCAATACCGGCACGACCACCACTTTGAGTACATCTACACCAAAAACACGACTAAGACCAAATCTCACCATTTCTACGCCTACAATACCAACCACTGCGAGACCTCTCAAGGGCTACGAGAGCTTCATCAAGGGGATACAAAACCAAATCAACAAGCAGACCTCGACACACAGTGCATCCCTGCACACAACAACAACTACTCCAACGCCGCGAATAAGACCCACCATTAGGACTAGCAGCATCACAACGACTCTTGAAAGCGTCGACTACTATGACGAGGACTACGAGGAAGATGAGGATATAATGCCACCGTCCCGCATGCCGCCTTACATGCCAATGTCCGAGACAATGGCCCCACCACGCCCGCAACTGGTGTCCACCACTGCGCCTGTCACCGAGTCGCCTGGAAAAATACGTGGCAGCTTTCAGACGGGCTTCCTGGAAGCCACAACGACACGGCGTCCATTCCCCAACTTTGTGCAGCTGAACAGCAGGCCCAGTAATGAGACTGGTGCAGGTGCTGGAGGAGTACCGTCATTCATCAACTTTCCCAGCGACATATTCCAGGAACTAAAGCAACGTCTGCCCCAGTTGCCAGAATCGACCACACCTACGCCAGGTGCCCCTACTCCGCGGAGCACGCGTCCCAGCTCCACGCCAGCATCAACATCCACACGGGTGCGTTACACAACCCGGCCCCGCACTAGGGGCCAACAAAAATGGATGACGATGGCTCCCCCCGCATCAGCTACAGCTGCAGCTAAGGGAGTCGAGAACAACACCGAACGGGCGAAAAATGATAGTTCAGCCTCCGGTTACTACTTCGGCAAGCAAAGCCACAGCAGCATAGGTGGCCTCCAGTTGAACTCTATTCACGCCGGCGGCTCAGTCTCAGGCGCGGACAGAAACAGGTAGCTATATAACAAGTCGAGGGCAGCCGCAATCGATGTTTGACTGAATTCAGACTACTTTGTGCCGCTACACAAATACACAAGAAATACCCGTATACATATACAGAATACAAGAATACAGCAGTCAAATGTACATATACTCAATACTATACGCCCGTCCGCCCGTCTTGCGGCACTACTGTTTATACGACCCATTACTAAACGATCTTAACAGAATGAGATTGAGTCTACCATCTACCAAAGTTGTACAGTTGACTAAACAAAATTGTTCTTGGACCTGGCTACACTAACCTCTAACCCTAAATTTAACCTAAACCTTGACTACGTTTTACCTGCTCTAACCTCCTGTGCTGTGCTCATTCTTCGATACTATCTCTTTACCCGCAATGCTTCATGCTCCAAGCTCCATGCTCATTTTGCTCATATTTATATCAAATTGAACTACTTTTTGATCTCGTTTTACATTTCTCTCCCCCGTTTTACGTACGTATAAATACCATCATTACGTCTACATAATACATAATACTCGTATATCTATGTTTAATTCCACTTGTGCATTTCGGCCAATGTAAATAATCTGCGCCACTTCAATCCAATCACTTCACCAACACAAAATTCCAACAAAAACTTCAACAACGGTTACAGAGTTGAGACATCTTCACCGTCATCGCGGGGGGGGGCGCCAACACCCAACGCTAATATCTTTGTACAGCCCACGCCACAAGCCCCATCGCCACAGGTAGAATCCAATCGTAACTACTACAACGCATCCATATTTAATCACGGGGGCGGCTACCAGCCATCGCGGCAGCAACAACAGCAGCAACAACAACAACAGCTACAGCCAACACCATTTCAACAGGCGCAACCGCAATCGCCCAAACATGAGCAGCAGGCACAAGCCATACCAAATCCCTATGATTCATCATATTATTCTGTTTACGACGACGATATCGATTTATACAGGGACATTGAGTATCAACAACAACAGCAAGACCATCAGGAGCAGCAGCAGCAGCAGCAGCAGCAGCAGCAGCAGCCGCAGCAACAGCAGCAATATCAGCAACCAGCAGTACGCCACCAGCAGACGCAATCAACCTACCGCCCATTGGAGCTATCGGCCACACCGACTCCTCCACAGAAGCCGCAATACAGCAACCAACCGACGTTGACCTACAGCACGGACTACGATGAGGATATTAATGCACAGGTAGGGGATATATTTAATATACGCATAGGGAATATCACCGAAAACCGACTGTTTTTAGATCGAGCAAGACAACGTGTACGATCAGCCAACTCGTTCGCCCCAAAGGTAAGTGACACCACTCCCCCATGCACCACCCCTAAAATCGCTCATGAACTCAATCTGGGAGCATATCGACGAAAACCATTATCATTATACAGAAAGTCTAAAGTGCAGAGCATTTTACCATAACTGCATTGAGAGAAGGGGAGCCCTTTTTAGTTCCCAAGCCCAGCCCCCAACCGCACCTCAGTTAGAATTATGCCCTAGAAAAATTGCACACAATCACACTCCAACACAAACTCAAATACAGACGCCATCAAAATTAACACATTTCCAAGATGCCATACTCTTGCCAAACCGATTACACACCCAACCACAAAACATTTGTCTACCGGAACAGGCCGGAGCAGGTGGCCATCCAAAGACTGAATGCGCGGCCAACATCCACGATGACACCCTCCACACGTCCCGATGTACGTCACTACTATGACACTCTTACCACGCCCAATTCGGGCATCGGGGAATCCGATTACAGCTACTCTAGCTCTGGAGAGTACGCGTACAACAGTTCGCCAGGGGACTATGATCAGAGCGAGCACACTTTGATGCAGGTTGTTACGGATGCAGGCAGAGATACGAGAGGTGATTACGATTTGATCGCAAATGTCGTGGGTCACACCCAAAGGAAGACAACAAAGCCACCCGCCACAAGCGGCCAGAACACTCAAGCCACTCCAGCAATAAGTTGGAGTACAACGAAGGGTTTCACCACACAAACTGTAAGGGCTACAAAGCCCACAACAACATCAACAACAACAACCAGCACAACAAAAACAACATCAACTACAACACCACCACCACCAACGACAACAACAACAACAACAACGAAACCCCAAAGGTATTTCGAGAGTCACATTGCGTTAGCATTAGCGCCTGCATTCAATTCATTCACCGTTTGAGAGCAACAAAGTCAAACTAGCAGACTCGTCTCTCCGTTTTTCGTCTCTCGGTTTTCCCTTGTGCAGTTTTAGTTTGCTTTTAGGCCACAGTTTGTAAGTTCTCATTCGGCAATCATCTCACGCGAAAGCTTTTCAAATCGGCTCACATTATACACAGACTACACACTCTCCGGAACGGTATGTCATAGATCTACCATCGGTGCATACATATGTATATGTAATATCTACCGCTTCTTCGATATTGCTTCGCGTTAGACTATCATTTTAAGTAGGTAAATGCTGCTGACTGTCTCTGTGTCCCTCTGTTCTTCTTGTTTTTCTGTTGTAATGTGATTAAGTACAACCCGTTCTCATATTCATTGCATGATTATTCATAAGATAACCGATACGTGTCGCGATATATCCGTACGCATGAGCATGATTTAATAATTTGAATCCATTACTTTGACAGCCCCAGTCGAGAATGAGATAACAATTCCACATATCTGAATTCTGAATTCTGAAAACTGAGAACCAAAAAGGCTAGGGACTGATACTAGGATTTCGAAAAATCGAAAGCTTAGCAACTAAGTTACTAACTTATGTGATTACTTATCCAAATACACGTCTCTTCAACAGCTCGAAAGCGCATGCAAATAAAATCTATATACAACATGCTATAAACATGTCAAAGACAACCACAAACACTACACAGCCACCAACGACCAGCACAACAACACCCCCAATATACCATCCTTCGACATATAGTTCCAATCCCTTTCTCAAATCGAAGCTCCAAAGCCTAGCCCAGTCGCTGGTCAGCTTTGTTGCCAACAGCCACACTCAAGGCGAATCGACTAATTATCATCCAGCTAAGATTCAGAACCAGACCCACTCCCAACTCCAACTCCAAAGGCAACCTGAAGTCCAAGTCCCAGCCCAAGCATATCCCTCAGTCACTGAACCCTCAACGACGCAATGGCCTCTGGTGGAGGACAGTCCCAGCAGTCAACTAGAACATGCGGAGACCGTCTTCGATGAGAGTCAGAACGTCCACGTGCAGACGGCCGAGGCACCCAGTAGCCGATCCTTTGAGACCAGCACGTCGCCCAAGTTTCTGGACTTCATTAATGCCGCCGCATACGGCACAAGTCCGCGCGGTAATCTGCTGCACTCCGTTCCCGACAAAAAGCCCGTGAAAACAGCCTTCCATCAGCTGCAAAAAAAAAATCCATATAGAGGCGTGGAAAGAGGGTATCTAAATGACCAACGTTCGACGGTGCCACAGCAGCCGAATAAGCGCATACAGACCTACATCTCATCAGATGTGGAACCGCAGAGTTTCAGATCTCCGGCAAGCGAACCCCTCGTGCCAGTTGCATCGATTGAGCTAGTGGATAGCTCAAGCACCACACCAGGCACCAGGCCTAGTAAAGCGGTTCAATATAGTCTACAAAGTGGATCGCACGGCTTTAGTCTTCGTGCTGAGGATTTCGGCCACAACGAAGGTCCAGTTGTCTCCGAGACGTTGTCTGATCGGAAGGAGAGTCAGCCACCAAGTACAAGTACAAGTACAATTACAAGTACTGGTACAAGTGCAAGTACAAGTACAAGTACTTCTACAACACCATACAACAGCGATGTGGATGTCATACCCACAACATATGCTCCACCACTTCGTATTTGGCGCAATGGACGACCCACCATTCAGGCATATACCAAGGCTACAACCACGACTACAAAATCCGCTGCAACAGCTCCTTGGTGGACCGATAGTGTGGAATCCAGCAGCACTATAAGAACCACGACTACGCCGAAAGCTCAGGGGACGCCAAGCACCGAGCGGTACATATCGCCGGGACAAAGTTTCACGGCTCGCGCAAATCACTTTAAGGACAGCCTGAACCGCGTAACTGCCAACCCAGCAATGCGCTTTGTCTCACCATACAAGAGTCTTGAGAACTTACTGCAGGAGGAGCGACAGCATCCAAATACCATGTTACGGACGACGGCCAGACCGCGTTACACAAATTCGCCAGCTTCACCGCCTTTCCTACAGACCACGCAGAAACCGCCAAAGAATCTCTTTCTTTCGGGGATGTCGCCTCGAAACACCAGTCAGGATGTCCTTGCCACAATGGCGACAGGAAATGCTCGAAACTTTAGCGTCAGCGACGCGATTTTGAGCACTTTTAGTCCCCAACGACCGGCACCAAGTATGCTGCGTAGCTCCACCTCCAGCAGCACCACTAGCACCACCGAGACACCACCTCCACCGCCAACGACAACCACTATACCAACGACTATATCGGCGGTAATCGCCTCATCGCCTATTCGAGTCTCCCAGGTTTCGATGCGTCCTCGCGGCCGCTCTCGCTACACAGTCGCAACTCTTGACAATTTATCGGAGAGCGTGGACGAGCCCACGACCTATGCCCCCAGGTTCAGATTACCCAGCAGCTACGAGGCCAATCAGTATCAGTATCCAAAACGAAAGCCCCAGCGCGTCCGAATAGCCGGCAATCAGAGGCCGTCGTCCGCCGAACCCACGGCAAAGCCTCATGAAAAATACGAGTCATATAAGGCTGCCTTACAGGCCAAGGATTCAACCCCTTTTAACTCTCAAAATGTACACGCAAAGAATTTATCCGCGCAATCGGTGAATGACAAGTTACTTAAACGCAAACCAATTGAGAACGAGACTAGCACATCGGATGGGCCACGAGCCGAGGCATTGATTGGGCATCAGCTACTAGAAGCCAGGCAGCAAAATAGCATAGAGGAAATGGGAACCGCATCGGCATCTAGCTCCACAGAGCACGTGGTAGCCATAACAGACCGTCCCCCCACTGTGAAGTTCCTCTACTCAAACAAATATCGCCAGCAAACGGCAGAACGCACATTAGCGGAAAGTCTTCAGAATGCCGGGTACCTAACTACCGGCAATGGGCGGATCCAAAAGTTCCGTCCTGTGAGTGTCCTCGAGCAACTGAAGCAGTTCCTCGCCGGCAGCGACAGCAATAGCAACAGCAACAGCGATGAGAGTGGCACCTCCCAATTTGTTGACGAATATTCGCACCCAGAAATAAAGGCAGCCGTCGATGAAATCAAGCAGCTTTATGTACCCACGAGTCGATCGACTACGATCACCACTACGACCACGCTTCGTCCTACCACTACGCCTATTGCGCCTCCCACTACTACCTCCCGTCCTAATATCGGAGGTGTTACTGCTCCGTCTAGACCAATAGCAATCCAATCCAAAGCCTATTCCTCCTATTCCTCTTCCACTTTTAGCATCTTGAGCACCGATCCTCCCACCTCTCCAACAGTCAGATCCACCCTGAGCACCACTCCCGATGTTAGTACCACTAGAACTCCCACCATCCCAACAACAGTTCCTCCAACAACTGCTAGCGCCACTGCCACCGCTACACCCTCTTCCATGTTTGCTCCGCCAACTGCGCGCGCTTCGAGGGTTAACAATGTCATAAGATCATCGATTGCCGCTGCTGCCGCCCAATCGTCCAGCTCAGGCTCTCTCTCAGGCTCCTCTACCTATCAGCAGCAGCAAATGCAACCAGCGGGTGGTAAAGCTAATAAGTTCCAATTTGGATTTGCTCCCAACAATAAGAACCAGCAACAACACCAACACCAAAACAACAATCACAACAGCAACAACAATGCCGCAGCCGCAGCCTCAGTGAAATGCTCTGATAGCACATTGAGCGCCAAATGCAACGAAATCCCCTCAAGGTATAGAAACTCATACCGATTGCTTCTAAGTTCAGTCGAATACCAAGTCATCACTCTACTATCTATATCGCTCTCTATTCTCTCTATTAGAATTCACCGTAATTTCGTTTTTGAACACCAACCAACCCCATAGTCCATAGTCCCACATAGTTACACTGTACTGTAAAGTAAAGTATTGTATTGTACTGTACTGTACTGAACTATACTGTACTGAACAACAACTATACCGTTGTACTGTTCTATAGCTTTCTATAGTCTCTCATTACTCCCCACATTCACCCACCTCTAATACTCTATATAGCTACTTCGTACTTGGTTGATGTTGAATGTTGGCTTTCTACTTAGTCTCTGTGCCCACAGCACAGCACAGTACTCGTATCTCTTAGCTAAACCACAAATACCTAATAAGCAATAAACTTTTGTACACATGTACATACATATGTATTCCGTAGGTACGTACATATGATCACAGTAATCCAGTTCCCTTCACTTCACTTAAATTTCTCGCTGGCCTAGTGCAATGATACACCAATATATTCGTATAAGTACCTGCTACTTTTTAGCTGCTGTGTAAAATGTTGCAACAAACAAAAAACAAAAAAAATGGTAAACAATATCTAAGACGGTGTACGTATGGAATTCCGTTGTTAACTGATCACGGCATACACAAGGTGGTGGCCCGTTTAAGTTCGTAAAATCGTAATACACCTTCAGTTGTTTTTTTTAGTTTATATTTTTCGGTAAAAATGAATTTGTAGAATCAAAACGTGATTTCATGTCGCAACAATGTGAGAACTAAGAAGTTTGAAAAACAACTTAAATCGATTGTATAACAATGTTTGTCTGGGCGTAATTCCAAAACTATGAACTCGGTCGTCACAGATTCCCGCATTCAATATAGAACACAAGATACAGAAAATATCTGTACCAGTACATTTTCAACCAGTTTCAATTCGCACATTTTACCGAGCTTTAATTTAGTAAGGGCTTGCGTGTTGCCTAGTGTCGCAAGTAAAGATTTAAGTTTGACTCAACAGCCACAAAGGCACGTAGCACTAAGTTTTCGACGCCCATTGCGTTTTCCAGCTTCCGCGTTTCCCCCGGGCTGGAAGAAGGCTTGAAGCACCCAAGCATCCGACGAAAATATTACCATCTCAAGAAAAGTGGCTAAATCCGAATTATACACATCTCTGCGGTCTCTTATAGCCTCGTCATTTCTCAGCATAGTTTTAGCTCCCAAAACCCCACAACACGTGACAAATAAGTATACAAACTATACAACTTTTTGGTTCTCACTATATAATGATGTCGAATAATTGGCCGATAAATTCTTATAAATCTTACTTTTTCTGTTGGTGGTGGATGTTCGGTTTTGGATACAAAAATGAAACTCATCTTCAAATAAACACTAACCTCCATCAAAATGTATATACATATATGTACCTTCTAGTATGTAAAGACTAATGAAATGCATTTGATGCATGTACTCGTATCTCTTGCCTATTTGTGTAGCACGAGCTAGTAGATAAGTAACTGAAACTCTAACTCTATCTGAGTAGAGCATTGCTTTATTGAGCACAACTTGAATATTCGAATACTTCATAAAAATCGCATTTCATCGAATTGTACTTAGAAACCACAATAGAAACCGGGGCGGCACCATTTACGCTAATCAGGATCGGGACGTTGTCGCTACAGCCAACCGAGGAACGCATCCCCCGTAAGTATCGCTAGATGAGAGCAAGTAAGAGAACATTTCATCTGACTACATTTATGACATTGCAGACGAACACGTCCCACGCTTAAGCCATCTGGAACTATTGTCTCAAAGGCTCAAGAATTTGTAGATATATATAGATATCCACCAACGCGGCCGGACCCCATATACCCACAGCCCACACCCGACAAAACTGCTGCCAAGTGCCGCAAAGATGTGTGCCTCCTTCCAGACTGTTATTGTGGAGGCCGAGATATACCTGGTAAGTGAGAATTTAGTTGTGTCTGACTAAAATCGATCAGGGCTACTTCTCGTGCGAAATAACGAATAACGATGCATTGCCAATAACGTGTAGGCGGCTTAAATGTAACGGAGATACCACAAATTGTATTAATAACGTTTGACGATGCGATCAACCCCATTAACATTGATATCTACAAAGAGCTTTTCAATAACAAGACACGCAAGAACCCTAATGGGTGTCCTTGGCGCGCAACCTTTTACCTATCCCACGAGTGGACAGACTATGGCATGGTCCAGGATATGTACTCTGAGGGACATGAAATGGCCTCGCACACAGTCTCGTAAGTTGCGATTACCGCTCACTTTGACGCTCTCCTCGACATCGATAAATCAACATCCACAAAGGCCACTGCATTAAGTCTCTTCATCTATTTCTTTCTTGCTTATCTTTTTTGTATTTATATTTCTGGGTACGAGATTGAAACTCTATTGTATTGCTTTTTCTCTACATTTTTCCATTCCATTACCGTGCATTTTCGTTTCGCGAATACTAGCCGAGCTTCCCGCTGAAAGCATACCGCAAATTGTTCTTTTGACTTTCGATGATTCCGTGAATGATTTGAATAAGCAATTGTACACGGACCTCTTTGAGAAGGGGCGCGTCAATCCCAACGGGTGCCCCATCACAGCCACATTCTACGTCTCCCACGAATGGACTGATTACAGTCAGGTGCAAAATCTGTACGCCGATGGACATGAAATGGCCTCCCATACAGTTTCGTAAGTAGTCGACATCCATGTTCGACATCTCTTGTTACACAACACAGAATACACAGCACACAACAGCCAAAACGGAAAAGTCGCCACAGCCCCAAGGGCTAGTAGCTAGTAAAAAATATTTTTAGTAATCTGTAGTTTAGAGAAATCGACAGCCGCACAAAAATTCCATTCCAAAAAATCACTTACGTCACTTAATACATCGTTGAACTAACAAGAGAACATTCCCAGGTCTAGTTGCAACTATCCTAACCACCAATTTGTATCTACAGTCATAGCTTTGGCGAGCAATTCTCGCAGAAAAAGTGGACTCGTGAAATAGCTGGCCAACGAGAGATTCTTGCGGCATATGGTGGTGTTAAGTTATCGGATGTTAGGGGCATGAGAGCGCCGTTCCTCTCGGTTGGCGGCAACAAAATGTATAAAATGTTGTATGACTCTAACTTCACCTACGACTCATCCATGCCGGTCTATGAAAACCGACCCCCTTCCTGGCCATACACTCTGGACTACAAGATTTTCCACGATTGCATGATTCCACCCTGCCCAACACGCTCATACCCAGGTGTGTGGCAAGTGCCTATGGTCATGTGGCAGGACTTGAACGGAGGACGTTGTTCGATGGGCGATGCCTGCTCAAACCCCAGTGATGCGGAGGGTGTCACGAAAATGATTATGAAGAACTTTGAGCGGCACTACACCACAAACAGGTAAATCGAGTAAAATTATAAAAGTTATGTGTAAAAACGGACGTCAATTGATGCATGTTTACCCTTAGAGCACCTTTCGGACTGTTCTACCATGCGGCGTGGTTTACGCAGCCCCACCATAAAGAAGGCTTCATTAAATTCCTCGACGCTATCAATTCCATGTCCGATGTTTGGATCCTAACCAACTGGCAGGCTTTGCAATGGGTGCGGGATCCAACACCCATATCCCGCATTAACTCTTTCCAACCATTCCAGTGCGATTATTCGGTAAGACTCCCATTACTGAAGGAACCCACTAATGACTAATGCTTAAATATATTTTTAACTAACCGAAGGACCGGCCGAAGCGCTGCAACAACCCGAAAGTGTGCAATCTGTGGCATAAATCTGGCGTTCGCTACATGAAGACTTGTCAGCCCTGCCCAGACATCTACCCTTGGACCGGAAAGTCGGGCATCCGATCATCACGCATCGATAATGATAATGTTGAGGAACCGGCGGCGGCGTAAGACATCGTCTATCATCAGTCTCTTCTGCAGTACGCAGAGGAACAAGATCATAGGCTAACAGCAGTCTGAAGTAGCAGAAGGAACAAGTAGCGAAGTAGCTATCTAAGACGCCGAACTGTCGAAGCGACGATGGTGGTCATGGGTAGCCCAAAATACGGAATTCACTCGTTAAAATGTTTTCATTTACTTTAATACTTTAGCTAATTTTTTAAACGACAACAGCAATCATAGTTAATTTTTTTTGGAGCATGTGACTACAAATTATTTATTCCCTCTTACATACAGTGCATACTCGGTACCTACTATATCTGTATATTCCTATAGATTGCTTGTTATACGGATTCTTGTAGTTGCACACGCAAATGCAAACCGAGCAGGACCCTTGTAAAGCAATTAGGCGTAAGACTGTAGACTAATAAGTACTAATACTAATAAATTGTGCGTGGTTGGCAGCCCTTTGGGTCCTTTTTAAAATGCATGAGTAGGCAAGAGGATTGGGAAGGAAGCCAGAAAGCCAGAAAGCATGACAAGTAGTGGTTAGGCTAATGTATTTTCATTTAACTTGTGATAAATATTTACATCTGAATTTATGTATTATTATATGTGCAAAAGTCTCTTCAAAATCATATCCTTATCTAGCTCCTTTTCACGAATATCGCAATATATTTTTATCTTTCTATTAAGAGTGTTTTTGTCAAACTATTGTCAAGTTATTTGATTATCCCTGGAATTGGGTGCATTCAAATAGATACGTTCTTTCGTACATATTACTACCCCTTTCTTTCATTCCACTACATTCTGCTACACCTAAGTATTTAGTATTTAGTACCACAGCTAAGATTAGTAGTGGCAGTTTTAGACTTTTAGAGTACAAGCAGAAGATATTGCATACTGATGTATGCTAAGAATTTATCATATTATTTAAGTTGTATACTAGTAGCATTCTGTATATCATGCACATCCTTTTGAATTGTTAGTCTTGGTAATGGATAATTAATACGATACCGGATTGGATCAACTGATAGAAGTCAATGAGAAAACGTATAAAGTGAGGAGCTGAGAGCGAATATACATAGACATAGATAAAACGATATTATTGCCAATACTTAGCCGCGTTCTTCATACAAAACCAACTTAACTAAATCGACGTGCAAGCCAATCGAATGTTCGAAGTTTATCACGTAAGATATGATTATGCGAAAGTATTAAGGGGATTTGAAATGCAATAATTAAAGCGACATTGATAAGCGATTCGGTTTGCTAACAAACAATCGAATACATATATGTATGTATCATATAAGGACATCAAAAATAAATAGTAAACTCTTCACAGCAGGGCGCAATGTAGGAAACGAGTGAATTAAGTATTTTGTGCTAATGATTGTAAAAAGCTACACCTATGTATGTATGAATGTACGTTGCATGTCTATAATAAAGTTTAATATTTAAATCACAATTAACAACTTCGAGCATCGAAAATATGAACTATCGACTTCTGTGAATAAGCGGAAAGGCGGAGCTCTGCAGCAGGTGCTACAATTAATATCAAAATAACAGAAAATGGGTGTAATTTGATGAGGTGATGAACCCTTGCGTGCAACACTGCGACTGGCTATTCAAGCAGTTATAAAAGGAGCAGCATGTGGCACTCTGCACACATTTCAGCAAGACGTCGTTGAAAAGTAACCATCATGTGGACGAAGTGGATTGTGCTGGCACTGTTCACTAGCCAATGCGCCGAGATAGGTGCTGCATTATATCCAGTCGACTTCACTGAAAAGTGTGTTAGCAGGCGACTTATCAATCGTTATGGTTTGAACGAAGAAATCTATGGGCTGAGAATTTGTGGAGGCGGAAAACCAAATCAAATGCGTCTCCGACGACGTGTTGATTCAACTTTTCACGGCAAACCAAAGCCACGCGGAGAGCTTCTGGCCAATAAATTTCACATAAATGCATATAGTTTGGATCAGACCAACTCCCTTGTGGCGCTTGTCAACAAAATAGCTCATGAGTACTTGGGAAAGTGTCCACCGGTTATATATTACGATGCTTTTGTGGAAAAATCGGATGGACTCGTGTTGGAGACTCTATTCAAGGTAAGTTCGTAAAAGTGTCAAATGCAAAACCACTGTGAACTCGAAATCATCGACTTTTGCAGACCATTCCTATTTCGTTTTATCATGGCGAAATCAATGCCCGCTATGAGGCTGAAAATCCCCACCTCACAAGTCATATCGACAGCAATTGCAAGAGCTACATTCTGTTCCTTTCGGACCCGCTGATGGCACGTAAGATTCTAGGTCCTCAGACAGAGAGCCGCGTGGTGCTCGTCTCACGGTCAACGCAGTGGAAGCTCCGTGACTTTCTGTCTTCGGAGCTGTCCTCAAATATTGTGAATTTACTCGTTATTGGGGAGTCGCTGATGGCGGATCCAATGCGAGTAAGTACAAGCTTATAATAATGCATTCCTTGGAGATTCACTCACCTTTGTCGTAGGAGCGTCCGTACGTATTGTACACCCACAAGCTGTACGCAGATGGTCTCGGCTCGAATACACCTGTCGTTCTTACTAGCTGGATAAAAGGCGGTCTATCCCGACCCCACATAAATCTCTTCCCTCCAAAATTCCAAGCTGGCTTTGCAGGACATCGTTTTCAAGTCTCTGCTGCCAATCAACCGCCTTTCATATTTCGTATACGCACTTTGGACTCTTCGGGCATGCTGCAGCTGCAATGGGACGGCGTGGAGTTGCGGTTGCTGAACATGATTTCGAAGCGCCTGAACTTCTCGGTGGATATCTCAGAGGCTCCTAGGGTGTCCGATAGTCGCAGCATCGTTGAGAACATTCAGACGGAGATTGCCCAAAAGACAGTTGACATAGGAATGTCCGGTATTTACGTGACTGCGGAGCGTCTGCGGGAGACCGACATGTCCGTCGGACACTCGCGCGATTGTGCGGCTTTCATTACGTTGGCGTCCAAGGCGCTGCCAAAATATAGGGCCATCATGGGCCCGTTCCAGTGGCCAGTTTGGGTGGCTCTTATTTGCGTGTACCTGGGTGCGATCGTTCCGATTGTATTCACCGACCGCTTGACGCTGAGCCATTTGCTGGGAAACTGGGGAGAGGTGGAAAATATGTTTTGGTATGTGTTTGGCATGTTCACAAACGCTTTTACCTTCACCGGCAAATACTCGTGGAGCAATACGCAAAAGAACTCCACGCGTTTGCTTATCGGCGCCTATTGGCTCTTCACGATAATCATTACATCTTGCTACACCGGATCGATCATAGCGTTTGTGACATTGCCGGCGTTTCCAGATACGGTTGACTCTGTCTTAGATTTGCTCGGACTCTTCTTTCGCGTTGGCACGCTGGGTGAGTAGCGTCAATAGCAAGTAGTCGACGAACAGTCCGTAATAGAGCCCACGTCTTTCACATGTACATATATGTATGCACATCCATTTTTATAGACAACGGAGGCTGGGAGACATGGTTTCAAAATTCCACACACATTCCCACGTCACGGCTTTACAGGAAAATGGAGTTCGTAGGGAGTCTGGAAGAAGGCATCGGAAACGTCACGCAAAGTTTCTTTTGGAACTACGCATTTCTTGGATCAAAAGCTCAGCTTGAATACTTGGTCCAATCGAATTTCTCGGATGAGTAAGAACTATTGCTTTGGGTCAATGATTTTTACAATGATTTTTCATGTAGAAATATATCGCGGCGTTCGGCACTTCATCTGAGCGAAGAGTGTTTCGCTCTCTTCCAAATTGGTTTCCTGTTTCCTCGAGAATCTGTGTACAAGCGAAAGATCGACTCTATGATTTTGCTGGCCCAGCAAAGCGGACTTATTAGCAAAATCAACAATGAGGTAAGCTGGGTCATGCAGCGTTCAACATCAGGTCGCTTGCTGCAGGCCAGTTCGTCCAGCTCCCTGCGAGAAATCATCCAGGAGGAACGCCAGCTGACCACCGCGGACACAGAGGGGATGTTTCTCCTAATGGCACTGGGATACTTTCTGGGCGGAACTGCCCTGGTATCCGAAATCGTAGGAGGAATCACCAACAAGTGCCGGCAAATCATCAAACGTTCTCGGAAGTCAGCCTCCAGCTCGTGGTCCTCCCAAAAGAGTTCCGCACTTGGCCCAGGTGGAGAGCGTACATCTGCCCAGAAAATAGAGCACGACGAACGCAAGGCGGCGCGTCGTGACGCGGCAGACGATGGCCAGAAGATGAGTTTCGGAATGCGGGAACTTAATTTGACGCGCACAACGTTTCGTGAATTATATGGGAATTACAGCAGAGCAGATCAGCAGCAAAGCTGTGGCCACAAGCCTTCGGATCTCGTGCAGTCCCACGAGCACACCGCCCAGAACGAATCTCTGGATTGTTTGGATGAGTTAATAGCTCATTTGGAGAAGGCCGAAGCTCAAAGTGACCCTTCTTCAGCTCAGCAGTTTTTTCCTGATGAATATTTTGGTGCAAACACCGAACACGCGAGCGTCGAATGTTTTGGTCCAAACACAGAACAATCAAGCGACACAACACAGAAGTAAATAATCAAAATGGCGTATTTTACCGAAATGCAAGGGCAAAGGCGCATGCTATAACGGTTTAAACAAAAAATGTAACTTCGCAAACTGTTTCTCCCTCTGTACGTCATACACCTTGCAAAATATATCTGTAAGACTCACCTTCTTGTGCTAACGCATCCAGTAAAAATCATCTAAATGCATAAAAGGTTCAAAAGCATGCAAATCTGGGAAAGAGTCATTATTAATTTGGTTTCAAAGTAGTTCGAAAACGAGTATGTTAAAATTATTAAAGGAAATAAATTATACATTCCTCTATTGCAGTATATACTGTATGGTTAGTGTCCATAGTCCGTAGATATGTAGTTGGTATGTAGCGAATGTGTAGTTCCCCTGTACACAATTTACATTTCTTTTTAAACCTATTTTATAAACAATTCAATAACAGGTATTAATCAAAATGATCCAATCCTTTTGAAAATTGATTTATGAATCGGATAAAATTATTTAATACAAAAATGAATTAAAAAATCGAGGAATATGACATCCAATCATGGGCTGATAACGATTAAGCCATTGTCGAGCAACTTGTCAACAATCCATACAGCTGTTCAGCTGAAAGATATCGCGATTCATTCATTTTTTCGAACACTTTAAAAACATTCTACGCGGATTTATTCAAGCTGTTCACCTCTTGAAATAGAGGGGGTTAAGTGGGTTAAGTTCGTTTTTGTCATCAGTATATATCAGTCCGTATATTTTTGAGGGTCAGACCGTATATTTGTGACTAGAACCGCGCTTTTGTCTGAGCGTTCGGCCACTAACCATACAGTATATATATGCTGTATGGTTAGTGGTTCGGCTTAGGGGATTGCGCCATTTTAAGAGTTTTTTAAATTGGAGTTTAGCGATAACCGCAACTCGTATGTATCTACCCCGAATTGAGCGTTTTATTATTTTCGGTATTTATTTTCGGTTCAAGGCATTTTTGGTATTTTTTTAATCTAGCTTGAAAATCTGGAGCGCTGTCGTCATCGATATCGATATATGGATATATCAATATTTTAACATCCCTAAAAAATGCCGTCATGAGCGGGTCGCGTCGCAGCAGAATTTTCCCACCCACTGAATAATTAATAAAGGTGTACAGTTAAGGTGCAAAGCAAACTCTTAAGAGATTAAAAGTGGAGTTTAGTTTGTTTTCGGTAATTGTTCGGTTATTGTTTAAATACAGATATAGCTAGAGGCAGTGATATATAAACGTTGCAAATACAGTTTTGTGTACGTGTGTAAAGCGACAACAAAAACAGGCATTTCTTCAAGCCGACGCCTCTTCACTGAAAAAGTGCGAACACTTTCGTATAAGCGGATAAAAACGTTCCGAATAAACTAAAACATTAAACAAATTGTGAACATAACTAAATTTAATGAAAACGTAGCAAACAAAATTTTAATTTCTAGTGTACATAAATATATCACACATACATACAAACGTTCTAATGCTATGCAGTGAGTCAGCCACACACACAAACACCCTTGCAGCATGAGTATACCTATGCCGTCATGTCATCTTTCGTTGACAGTGTTGTTTTTATACCCTAAACAGAATGTTATAACATTTTGAGATGCATGTAAGGCACTATTCGAGCCACTTGGTCCTAAAACAAAAGTAGCGGAAGCCTTTATTTAAAAATGTAGTTCCCTTGCATTTTAAAGTTAATCCAAAAGAAATTGTATTATTTTGGTATTAAATGGAGAGTCAAACCATTAGTGTAAGGGTATACAGTCCTCAGTGCGCAAAAATATTTGTCCCGCCTTTCGTTTCTGGTTTTCTATGTTCGTTTAATACATTCACACATTTTACGTGCATTGTGTAGATGAATGAAAATAAATGTGCTGCCGGCGTAAAATAGCAATTTTTAGCTTACCATTACCGTAATGGCAGATTAAAAAAATATGAAATTGGGTCATCACTCCGCTTCTGTTCTGTTGTAGTAAACCGATTGTATACAACCAGTATTATCACCCAAAGCCACAAGGTTACATTCGGGAAATTGAACAGTGGCGATCCGTTAATTATTCGACTGTCGCTGGCGACCGTAACCATCCACATCCATGTCTTGTTTTTACGAGTATGTTCAACGCAGCATAGCGAGTTCATTAACTCCATAAACCAGTAACACCAATACAAATGTACATTTCTAGCTTGAGCTGGCCGTACCCTTTTTTGTACCAGTCTCTTAATATTTGCGTGGGCAATTTAATATATTTTTTCAAAAACAATGCTCCATGTACAAATGTGATTTTCAATCTCACCAGTTGGTTACTTAGCTACTTTTATTTGGCTTCCTCTGATCGTTGAACGTGCATAGCAATGGCAACATATGCATGTATGTATGTATGTATGTATATGCATAGAAGAATACAAGCATATGTACATACAAACTTTGCCAACGTTTCACCCGCCCACAAACGATTTCCCGACGTTCATTTGAAATCTCCGCACAACTTGTTTAACAAGTCTTGTAAATCGAGTTCTCGCTTTGGCTCGGCTCGGGTCATAGATTATTTTTCTGGCGTTCTGCTTTCTTATGAAAATTTGTATCTATTTTGGCAACACTCCCGTTTTTAAAATGGCCATAGAGTTTCATTTATTATTTATTCTCAACGTAATGTATTCAATGTATTATTTTGATATCATTTCAGTGTTTTTAAATCCCCAAAAAGTGAAATCCGTATTGTTATTGTGTTACGTCAAATTAAATTCGTGCAACAATGTTAAAGTTTATTCGTGGAAAGGGGCAACAGCCGACAGCAGAACGACAACGGCTGCAGAAGGATCTCTTTGCATATCGTAAGGTACGTATGTAAGGTGTGGACGTACGTATACAGGCACAGCCATGAAATATTCTTGTATATATGTATGTTATCATTCGTTTTGCTTACCAGACTAAAAAGTCTTACTCACTTTTAGGCAGCTTTATATTGATAAGTTTTTATCAGCAGAACAGTACTTTTCGTGATATGTAGTTTCATTGAACACTCAGAAGTATGGTAGACTTAAATAGTCCAAGGCAATTGCTAAAAATTTTGAAAGAAAAAAATGTACATATTGATTTGAATGGAGCTGATTTCTTAATGTCTCACCTTTACAATACATACATACAAGGGTGTGCCAATTGACCTATTCAGTTGTGGGGTCGTCATATTTCATTGAAAACTGACTGCTATGCGGCGTCTATTAGCCCATATACATATTTTTTGTTTGTTTTAGAGCTTGTTAAGCCACTTAAAGTTCTTTGAAAGAACTGTACGTAATGTTTTGAACCGACTGTCGCATGAATCATTAGGAAAGTAAAGCCTTGTCTGAAGCGGACCTCGATAAGTGGGTCAAGCGAATTGCACCATTTTGTAATATGGCTTTGCAAGCACTTTTACCTGTTGCGGAGCTATTTTTATATAAAAAGAAGGTTGGAATATAAATACACGTGCAACCATCGTCGATGTCATCAAGTTCTTCCAACAATATTTCCAATGACATCATTCACAATTCAGTCTCGATGTTTGTATATGTTCGTGGACAAACATATGTATAGTTACATATACGATATTGCAGGTTAAATGATAATATAAACGAAAGATAATTTCTCTTTAAAACGCATGCACCAAGACAATACAAATATGTTTAAATAGTAACATATATAGACAGTGTAATCCCTTGGCGAGCCAAAATTAGTCATCTAAATCTATTGTTGCGAGGTACACAGAGAACATTCTCATATTCACCAACCCCAAATAATAAAATTGTACACATAGTACAATCATAGCACAGATAGTCACCAGTCAGTACCACGAAGGCAGTAGTTGATAAGATTAATTTTGTTTGTTTTATGTGCTGCTGCCCTCAGAAGTACCACATACATGCATATGTGTATACATATGTATTTATGTACATACATTTATGCCCATACGAAGGAAAATATCGAGCGTATATATTGTTTGCGTAGATAGGCGTGGTATCTTCCGCTGATAAGATTTCAAACAACCTACAACAGATCCCAGGGAAAAGGAAATGCTGCACCTGTATGTGGGTCAAAATACTCGTACCGCCGTTTGTTCAAGTTTTCAGAACAAGCCACAGAATGTCTACCTTACATCAAGGATTTTGATTCACCAATATATAAAATTAAAATTATTTTCATATAAACCAATGTTTAATGTGGTTTTTGCGGCGACTTTATCGTTATATATCGTATATCGATACAAAATATGCATTCAATATTAAATTTAAGAGTTTCTACTCAGCCCAGTAGGAGGTAAAAATATATATTCCTGCCAAATATCTCAGATGGGACTTTTCGTCGAAAGCTCTTACTTCGCTGTGTAGCAGGTAGCATTTTATACAAATTAGAATACCTTTTGCAAGGGTATAAAAAAGCTTCATTAAACTTTTAGAGATGCTTGGATGACTACGCTGTCGCTTCTCTCATTAAGAATGTGTCGAAAAGCAAAGTTCTTCACGGTCTGCGGGCGAAACAGTTTCATCTTATTCAACTTTGGGCATGTGTTGCTTCATTTTCACACTCCGCCACTGTTAAGGTTTTAGCTGAGGCTATACTTCTAGGAACAATTCCGAAGTTCAGTTAAAAACTTCTTTCGTGCTTTTATTTTTAGTTTAATCAGAACTACGCTGTTGGTAAGGTAAAAAGACAGCTTTCGTTTAGGACGTAGTCATAAGTAAACCATTGTTGCGTATTTTGTTAACTATGTACACAAAAGCGTCAACAAAAATTGTATTAAACAACATTGCCAAAGCATATCGGGGCAACGTCATTGAACAAGTTAATGCGATTTTCCAACTGACTACTTTTAAGGTAAACTGAACGTAAACTGAAAATATGAACAAATGCGGAGATAAGCAAAACAATATAATATGCATAAATATTTAATTATGTTTATCATTTCTCTATTTTCAGACTGCGCAGCATGGCTTTCCACACAAACCTTCAGCTCTGGCATACGATCCTGTT